CACACACACACACACACACACACACACACACACACACACACACACACACACACACACACAGGACCCAGTAACGTTTGTTTACTACACAAAGTTTTAACTGTGTTGGAGATTTAGCTGATTTCAGTTTGTTGTGTTTTTGAGGCGTAGAGGGAGAAAACTTTGGTTTGATTCCTTGAAACATGTTAAAGAAGCTGAAACTCAACTGTCAAAGAAACAAGCATAAGCTAACATAACAACAGTAGCTAAAAGCTAAACAGCAATTTTGTTGTTTTGTCATGTTTGTTTGCTTTTGTCGGCTGATTATAGAAAAAATAATCTAATTAAACATAAAATTCCCTAATTACAGATTAAATCTCAGGTTTTATTCCTGTCATGGTGGTCAGGGTTCCCCACAGATCCAGTTGTTTTTAGCAGCAACAGGATCCACAGAAGAAGAAATGTTAAGATGATTTATTTTTACTCTCTAAGGCATCTGAAAATATCAGGACATTATTAACAGAAACATGACCCACAAGGGCTGGTTCCGCAGAGCCCGACTCCAGACACCAACAGTCTGATGGTTTTATTTAAGGCAGCTAAAGTTTTATTATTATCATTATTTATTTAGACAGGGAATCACATTGAGCCCAGTGATCTTATTTACAATATAGGTTTTGTAAACTTTCTGTAAGTTTTGCCCAAAACTGGACTCACTTTGTTCCTAAATGTTCTTTTTCTAGATTTTGCCATGCAGCTGTGGTGTAAATGTGTCTTCAGGCTGCAGGATGGGCAGATCGTTTTAGAATGTGGCCTCTGAGGTCTCCTCAGGTCACACTGCAGACCCCAAACAATCAGCTGTCAGTCCCTGAACATCCAGTAACTTTCTGAGAGTTTAAGGAAAAACTGTTCAGCGGTTTATGTAATATTTTGCTAAGAATCAGAGGAGATTACATCACCTTTTATGGCCGAGTCCAGAACCAGTCCTGGACTCAGACCTTCTCCAATGATTTCAGTTTAATCTGATTAAAACCTAAATTATTTTACTAAAAGCCGGCAGAGAGCTGAACATTTTTTCGCATGGGTAGTCACAATGTCATCAGCTGTTTGATTCAGTCTGAAGACAAACACCAGCTGAGTTATGTTGCCATGGCAACGGCAGGCGGAGTTATGGAACCAAACAGGAGGCCGGATTTTACAGGATGATCTCATGGTTCTGTTATCAGCTGCGACAGGAAGGTTCTGCCACACAGTTACAGCAACAGAAACATGGTTCCTTATAACGAATGCATATGCCCCGCCCCCTTTCAGTCCAGAGTTGCATACTTTAAAACGTTTTAGTCAAACTTTAAAAATAATGTGTTCATTCTCATTGCATGTGTTGTGAACGACTCACAGTTACTACCACCTCAACGTTCAGCTCAATATCTGACTGAGTTAGAGTTGTGTAGGTGTTGGCAGATTAGAGGTGGAAGCCATTTTAAATCTGGGCTGGTTCCAAAAGTGAATCAGCAGTAGATGTTCATGTGATGATTCCTGCCTGAGAGTTTCATTGAATAATGGTCTGGAGTTCATCAGATATTTTGCTAACTGACAGACAAATGTACCCTGGGAGGTGGGAGGGGCTTTGGTGAGATGAGAGGAGCTGGGCGGGGCTTTAGTGAGATGAGAGGAGATGGGCGGGGCTTTATTCAGATGGGACGAGCCGGGTGGGGCTTTCGTCAGATGGGAAGAGACAGGTGGGACATTAGTCAGATGGTAGGAGATGGGCGGGGCTTTCGTCAGATGTGAGGAGCTGGGCGGGGCTTTAGTCAGATGGGAGGAGACAGGTGCGGATTTAGTGAGATGGGAGGAATCAGGTGGGACTTTAGTCAGATGGGAGGAGATGGCAGTAGCTGGGCGGAGCTTTAGTCGGATGGGAGGAGCGAGGTGGGACATTAGTCAGATGGGAGGATCTGGGAGGGGCTTTGGTGAGATGAGAGGAGATGGGTGGGGCTTTAGTCAGATGGAAGGAGCCGTGTGGGGCTTTCGTCAGATGGGAGGAGCTGGGAGGGGCTATAGTAAGACGGGAGGAGACGGGTGGGACTTTAGTCAGATGGGAAGAGATGGGAGGGGCTTTAGTGAGATGGGAGGAGCTGGGAGGGCTTTAGTAAGATGGGAGGAGACAGGTAGGGCTTTGGTCAGATGGGAGGAGACAGGTGGGATTTTAGTCAGATGGAAGGAGATGGGCGGGGCTTTAGTCAGATGGGAGGAGACAGATGGGGCTTTAGTCAGATGGGAGGAGACGGGCGGGGCTTTAGTCAAATGGGAGGAGACAGGTGGGGCTTTAGTCAGATGGGAGGAGATGTGCGGGGCTTTAGTCAGATGGGAGGAGATGGGTGGGACTTATTGTTGGAGACAATACAGGAAAAATATATTTCAACTTGTAAAGTTCCAGTCCGGTAAAATAAAATTCCATGGTTGAATGCCTCTATAATACATCTCCTAAAGTTGAAAGCTTCTTCAATGAAAACTTACAGATTATCAAAAACTTCTGAAAATCGGTCTCGTTTAAACAGTTACCGAAATGAATGTGTTGCTGAATTACGCAAAGCCAAACAACAATATATTAAAAATCTAATTATTTCAGCCAGTAAGAATCCAAAAATATTATGGGAAACGGTTAAGTCAGTGACAGGTGAAAGTAACAATAAAACATTTAATAACAATTCACAAATCTCAGTAAATGGACTTCTTGTTTCTGATCATGAAAAAATTGCTAACTTATTTAATGAATATTTAATTTCTTCAGTAAGGACATCATTACCGGGACAAGATAATAGTTTAAAGTTATTTAAATATCCTGACACTTCAAAGCAATTTTCATTTTCTGAAATTTCACAGAGTGATGTTTTGAATACACTCCAATCTCTAAATGGCTCACATGCATTTGACAAATATAAGATAAATATGGATTTCTTGAAAATGCATGCCAACACTTTTTTTTACCATTGTTTCATCATTTGCTTAATTTATGTATT